TGTAGTAATACTCAATTAGAATTTTAAAATTTTCAATCTTAAATCGTGGATCACAAATAATACCTATTTTATAAATATCAGGAATGTACAAATAATAAGTACACCATTTATCTCTCATAGGAGAGACATAAGGGTACAAATCTGGATCAGCCATACTTTCACGAAAACATGTTGCGATTGTAATGCACTCTTTAAAAAATGTATTTGTAGTTGGTTGGTAAACATGGGAAAAAGTAAGAGTTGCGTTATTAAAAACTTCTAATACGGCATTCAATTTTTCAACAATAACAAATTCAAAAGGATTAATGATTATACGAAGTTCATCCCTAAAAAATTCAGCAAGTTCCTCTTTATATCTTAGGATCTGTGCAATCAATTTGTAAGTACTATTCCATCTAATGTTGATATCTCTCGCAAAACTTATTTCTTTTTTACCCTTAGACTTACAGAACATCTTCCAGGATCTCGAAATAAGACGAGCCCCCTAAATTTTTTTAATTCCTTCTTTAATATTTGTCAAAACTCCGCCCATAGCTTGTAGTCCCTGTTGAACACATAAATTTAAAACATGACAGGCACACCGTTGATGCAGAAATCTAACCATAGTCGTAGACGGTGGGCAAATTTCTCTAAGTTTAGGAATAGCAGCAGTATTATTAGTAGCATTATCAAAACCAAATGAAAAAACTTTTTCACATAAGTTATATTCCCGCAGAATACTCTGAAGCAATAGGAAAATATTTTCAGCAGTATGCTCTAGGACAAGAGTGGGGAGATTCGCGTCTCCTCTACCAGAATAAATCTGGTTGAATTCTTCATCCGTCATAGCGTCCCCGATTAAATGATCTGGGACAGTAGGAAACGAAGAGACGGAGTGTCTTCCTCGAGAACCGTGTCCGCGTGAGGTCGAACCGTCGGAGGTGGCTTTAGCTTTGCCTTTACTCAATCTTCGGTTGACGTCGCCCATATCCACGGACCGTGTACCGGACTCCCTCGACATTTTAATATATATTTTTTTGATATTAAAATAATATATTACTTTTGGAAAAATTAAAAAAATTTCGAAATTTTATTATATAAAATTTCGAAATATTCAAAAAATAAAGAATATATTTAAATTATTTAAAGATTAAAGAATATATTTAAAAATTAATAATATTTAAAATTTTGAAAAATTTGAAAAAATTTCGAAATTTTATATATTAAAATTTTGAAAATTTCAAAATTTTAATGTATAAAATTTTTATATTATTATATGAATATTAAACGTATAAAAATTAAATAGAGATAATAAGATTGAGATATTGATAAATATAGAGAATGAGAGAATGAGAGATGGATTGAGAAATTGAGTGATTTTTTATGTAAAAAATGTGAGAATTTATAAATACATCCTTCCCCCCCTCCCCCCTCCCCTCTTCCCCTCCCCCACCTTAACGGCTAAATAGTCGTTTGAGGTGTGCCCCCCACTATTTTTTTTGCTTTTTGCAGGGCTTGGCTAGTTGGCTTGGGATTTGAAATGAACAAAAAAAAAAAATTTAACCGGTACCAGAACCGGACCGGTACCGCAGGTACCGGTACCAAAAAATAGGTACCGGAACCGGTACCGAAATGGGCGGTACCGGTACCGGTACCGGTTCCCGGAACCGGTGACACGGCGACGACGACGGTAACGGTGGCGGGTACCGGCGGTACCGTTGCCGGTGACGGTACCGTACCGGTACCGTGTCCACCCCTATTCATGTTTCTTTACTTCGGCCGTACATTCCGGATAGCACTACCCCGGTGGTCTCCTCCTTGCCAATGGAGTTTCATGCAGGAGCACCAGTATCAGTTCCGCAGCGGGGAGTGGGAGCGCGCACAGTCATGGTTCATGGCCAATTACAGGACCAGTGGCTTGTTGTGTGGCCCGACGGTAGCCTTGCTGATGCTACGTGGGAACCGGCTGCTTTGTTGAAGGCCAACTACCCCGAATTGGTCCTTGAGGACAAGGACGCTTTGGTCGGCAGGGCAGATGATACAGGCCGTTAAGAGGGCCAGGTGTTGGAGCGCGCGGAAAGCCCAGGAATACAACGAGAGCCAAGACGTTCGAGCCGGGCGTCTAGACCACCGGCCCGACTTCGTGATTACGTTTAAGAATTTTAGTTATTTTATTTAATTTCATATATCGTTGTACTTTTAGATTTTCTTTAGGTGAGCGAATTATAAGCTCCTTCGAAGGTTTCTTTTCGGTTCTTTTCATTCTCTATTTATACTTTACGTCCGGCTGTTGAAAGAGTTATGAATGAAAAGTGATTTAGTTAGACATAATTTCCTTGTTCTTTGTGTTCTCTGAAACCCTAACTCTCCTAGCCGTCCTTCCCTTGCTCTCTGCCGGCGACACAGGTGCTTTTATAGCAGTTCAAAGCTTAACAAGTGGCTACATGACTAACCTAAGTTTAATCAAATAATTAAAAGTAATTAAAAAAGAAGAATATAATAAAAGGTAGAGGGTATGCTTGTAAGATATTGACACTATAAATATCTAAATTCGTATAAAAGATTAAGAAGTGTTATATGCGTAATATTGAGTGACTTAGAGTGCTACGTAGGGTAATTTTCTTAACATCTAAGCACCTATAAACATTCTCTTCTCTCTCCTTTGAGCATCCCCTTTGGGCATCCCATTGGAGATGACCTTAGGCGGCCGTGCTAGGACAGTTAGTTCCGGAACTTCACTTCGTCTAGCCCTAAATTAGAGGCACGAGTCAATTTTTGGGTCAAAAAATGGTAAACTTGAATTTTTATTGTTATTTGCAAAGGATGACTCCCATCTCCGAAGGCTCTCAGACCAGTCAGACGATTACTGAGATAGATAAATTAAAAATTGTGGCAAAGAACTAGGCAGTTGAGGAATCGAACTAGGGGCTAGCAACTACTATATAGACAATTTTGCTATGATCTCGTAGGCCTAATCGGGTATGGGGCTCATCGTCTAAAAAAGGCGTATTCTCAACGAGAAAGCACTTTCTGTGTGCCAGGTCTCTCAATTTGCAATCCGCCATGGATGAAACTCGAAAACACCAGGTTCTTTCTTCCTCCTCAGTCCTCACACAGAACTATCTGTATCACTTTCCTCTGCCAGGTCTCACAAATTGCAATACGTCATGGATGTACACGCTTGTAGCTTTTATGTGGTGTGATTGGTTCAGTTGTTGAGCTCGAAATGTTGATTTCATTTGTAGCTTAATTTCCATATTCAGTGGCGTGGAAATCATTCCAAATATGTGATGTAACGTTTGCTAATCTTGCTTAATTTTTTTTGCGTGGTTTCCCACAGGTTTCTATGCGAGGAGCGAGCGCGAAGGACATTTCGAGGGATGAGCTTCTAGAGATGGTCTCGCATGAGAGAGAGCTTCGGGTTTATATTCGGAAATCCACTGCAGCTGCACTGTGTATTCAGGTTCTTGTGATATTTATTGTTTATTTCATTTATCTTCTGCGTTAGTTTAGCGGTCGCTTGAAAGGTGCTGTATGTGATTCCAAATTTGTACTCGTAATCCTTAATAATTTCATTAATTTGTGCAGAGAGTTTGGCGGCGTTACTCTGCCACAAAGTTGTTAGCCCTACATCTTCAGCAGCAATGGGAGGTTATGATGGATAATCTAGTTGTTCGTCCAACTAAAACACTGATATCCTGCAGTATTTTGAGGCCTTTCATTTTCTTCATAACGTTCTTATTGAATCGAGGAGTAAAAGTGCTAAAGAGAGATAAAAATTGTATCGCAGCTTGCTTCAGAGTTGTCTTGGAAAGCATTACATCAACTAGTATGTTCTTATTTTACCAGTAATTTATTTCTTCTTTCTTTGCATTTCTCTTTAGGCATGCCATTTTGACTCCCATATTCAAATTTCTTCCATTTTTATTTTTTTGCCGAGGAAATTCCTAGTAGCACAGATTATTTATGTCAAGTTATTTACTGGTTTTGAATTATCATTTTGATGGATAGATGCAAATGAAAACTTTTTCTCAATGGCATTTGGAAATGGCGGGGAAAGAATAGTTTGGACGTACCAATCGAAGAAGCTGGTTTCCATTTGCATGTTGATTCTAGCAGATTTTGATAACTCTCACCCAGGGGGTGAAGATGTGTTTGTTACATCATTGGCTCTGCGTTTGGCAGTTGTTTTGATTGATATCAAAGGATGGATTTGCATCAGCGATGCTAATATCCAAACTGCAAATAACTCTATAAGAGATTTAGTTCATTTCATGGCAAGTAAGAAGAGCGGTTTGTATAGTTGTGTCCAGAGATACATTTGTAAACTTCAAACTCCTATTTCTTCTCAAGTAACTTCTTCTGGTCAAATGGATGATCGATTCTTGATTATTGCTTGCGCTACAACTTTGGTTCTCCGACCATTTCACGATACAGGCATTTGTTTAACCACTAATTACTCGGAGGATGTTCAGAATGCTGCTGAACAATTTTGTAGTTTGCTTCTTACAATTCCTTGGTTGGCTCAAAAGTTACCAGCTGTGCTGTTACCTGCTATGCGACACATGTTTGTATTATCAGCTTGTTTACAGACTCTGATGGTAAGTTTGGGAAATATGAACTTTTCCTCATGTTTATGACACTCTTGCATGTACGTGAATTACATAATCCATATGAAGTAGAGTTCCAATTAGTGGTCGAACCATACAATTATTGTTTTCTTGTTGGGTGAGGAGATATATGCTGTGGAAGAACATGGATTCTTTTTTCTTCCTATGCCTAGGTGGCTATGTGAATTAAAATGGGTTAATCATCAGTATTTTCCTAGTCAACCTTAATGATTTTCTGTCTTTTGAAATTTGAATGATATATAATGCCATTTTGACTCGTAGCTTATTGTTGTTTATCTACTCCGAAAAGCATATAATAGGCCAATTGGCCAAAACTAAAAAAATAATAGTACTAAATGAAGTTGAAATAAAGAAGCAAAAAAAAGCAACCGGCTCTTTTTCAAGAAGCTGTGGTGTTGTGTTTTTTTGTGAATCAGGGTTTTCATTAAGTGCTGTCTGGGCCTAACGTAGAAGTGTGGACTTGAGGGAAAAAAGGGAAAACAAGGTAACTTAGCGGTTCACGTGCAATTTGTTTGAAGGAGGCTATCGTGACATAACATAATCTGGTTGGGCCTGTGTTTTCCGTACTTGTGTTCAGTTGAATTTCTGTAATTGCTGATTGTATTATAATTGGATGAAATGATCTGGTTAACCAGAGTCACCAGACAACTGATTGCACAACATGTTGTGTTTTTCTCCATTATATGCATCCTGACCATGCTGCTGCTGCTGCTAAGGCACCTTGAATTGTAGCAAACATGGATTTCTATGTTAGTACTGATCTTTTACGGAGCATTAGTAATCTGCGCAGATAAACCAGTTATCTCCTTTTCATTTTGATATAAATTTTCATGTTGGTTTTGGTGTTGGAGCATAAGAGGACTGATTAGCCTTGGCAGGTGATTGGCAGATGCCAATGGAAGAAATCTCAAAAGAAATGTTTGATGTCGATAAGATGACACGTACTGGACAGAACAGGGCAATGCCACCGGTTGGTTGGGCTCTGGCAAACATTATTTACCTGGCGACAATGGGTGACAATAATTCATTGGATTCTGGAAAGTTTCCCCCTAGTCTCGATCAAACTTCCTATGTACGTGTTGTTGTTTTGCTGGCAGAGAACCTGTTGATTTGCTTTGAAAGGGTTGGACTGCTAAGTCACGAGGACCGGAATGATGATGTTAATTCTGTTGAACCTCTCAACTTTTATCATGAGGCTGGGACAACAGGTGGATCCTCAAAGTTGTCTTATCTGGACCTCCTTAAGCCAGTTTGTCAACAGGGGCATCTAATGAAACTTATTTCATTTGTCAAAGACACCTCCGTTAAGAATGATGTTAACATGGCATCAAGCAATGTAGCATCTCATAGATGTGAATTGCGTGATATTGCTTATTATTATTCATGCATGATAAGAATATTCTCAGTTCTGGATAAAGTGCATGGAGCGTTGCCAGTTCTGAATATGCTATCTTTTGCTCCCGGATTTATTTCAGATATGTGGGGATCTCTAGAAAAAACGTTTTTCCCTGTAGGGGAACATGTTACTGAGAGCACCTCAGATCAAAATAAAGTTGGTGAAAATATTATTTATGAAGTGTCTGAACAAAAGCAGAAGCACTTTGCTAAAGACAGTGGCAGTAAATGGGTGAATGTAATTCAGAAAATTGCACGAAAATCTCGCCCAGAATCAACATCTACAAATGTAGCTGATGGAATTTATAGCTCTAACACAATTGGTGAGCATTGTTCTGATATCTGGGATATTAAACCATTAAGGAAGGGCCCCGAGGGTATATCAAAAGATACTTATTGCCTTCTTAATCTCTTCTGTGCTAGTTATTACCACCTGCTTGTAGTTCTCAGTGACATTGAGTTTTACGAGAGACAGGTTAGATCCCAACCTTTTATACTTGTACTTCACCAATCCCACCCCACCTCATATGCTCCCCACAAAAGAAGTTAGAATCATTTGTAATGTTTATATGGGCGATTTTATCAAATACTAAATAAAATTGTTGGATGAATTAGGTCCCTTTTTCGCTGGAGCAGCAAAGGAAAATTGCATCAGTGCTTAACACATTAGTGTACAGTGCCGTGTCTGTTAACATTGTTGCTCAAAATAGGACTGTCATTGATTTTGCTGTCAAGTGCCTGCATTTGTTATATGAAAGAGATTGTAGGCACCAATTTTGCCCACCTGCTTTGTGGCTTTCACCAGGTAGAATAAACCGGCCTCCAATTGTTGCAGCTGCTAGGACTTTTGAAGTATTGTCAGCTAATAAAAATGATGTTTCAACCTCTCCTATTGGTTCTGTCATTATAACTACACCACATGTCTTTCCATTTGAAGAAAGGCAAGTTTGGACAGAAGCATTCATCCTTTAATTTTACCATCACAATGCCATTTTCTTGGCCTCTTATTTTTTGAATTTATTCTTTACACTTAAGCTCCTAGAGTACTTTCAGTGCACTCAGGACTCCTGACACGTAATGTATTAATGCATGCTAAGCGGCCTTAATTCAGTTAACTGAGATATTGTGGCTGATCGATTTTATGTGATTATAATGTCCTTTTTCAGATGGAATTTTCTTTCCAATTTCATTACCGTATTTTGTTTAATTTGGTATTTAAATTGCTTCATTCTTTGCTTATTTAGTAGGTTTGAAAGTTGTACACCCTAAATATATAAACTTGATTTCTCTGTTTAAAAAAACACGAGAATTAATTACAAAAATCAAGAAGGAAAACACCACAATTTCACTTTTTTTCAGCAACCTCCATTCCTTTTTATTCACTCCTTGCTATGCAACCATGCTCCTGGTTCATAACTGTTTTGTTCCTCTTGGCGTGGATCTGGTTGATCTCATGGTATTCGTGATGCCGTTCAAGCTGTCCAAACATCCGTTGGAACCTTCCCATTCACACTACAATGAGTTTCCAACATGGGTGCAACCCCTTCAAACTGGTGAACTCTTTGTTGAAAAAACTAGTGCCCTATGAAATTAGTAGAGCCTCATCACTCACACTGCCTCTAACACACTTTCACTCCCAGTCCGGTCTGACCCACCTGTCTCATATCATCTTGCTGTACCCATCAACTTCTCACGCGACCCTCATCACCCCACAGACTTTTCATTGTCAGCTTCTTTCATAAACTTTGCAGCATAGTTCACTACTGTGCCATAAGTGATGGGGAGTAGTTGTCCGCTTTAACAAGTGGCCTTTCCTCTACTTCAACAAGTGACTGCAAAAGAATCAACAGTTATGACCAGGCATTCAGTTGAAGCTTCTGCAACAATGGTTCTACGCAGGGACTTCCTATTCTGCTATGTTGAAATTACAGTTGAATGTTTTTTTTCTCAATTTTAGTAGAGAACAACAAAAACAACAACAAAAACTAGTATATTCCCAACTTCGTTGGGGTCTAGGGGGTGGGGGTGGAGAAGTTGTACCCAACCTTACCCCTGTAAAGATTAAAGACTGAGATGCTGTATTCTGATAGACCCTTGATGCATTGATGCATATACTTCCCAAAGGCCAAAACCTTTTAAGAAGTAAGATGCAAGGAAAGTTTAATGTGCCATTTTGATCTAGTCCATTATTAGTCTGAACTCTAAAGCTAAAAACATTGTAAAAAATGATTCTTTTTGCTCCACTGGCAATGGATGATAGATTTTAGTTGGGAGTGAGGAATGAAACTTTGGTTTGATTCTTTTTATTTTTATATTTTTGTTTATATCAGTTTTTGATGCTTCTACATGCTGATGCCAACTTTTACTTTGTGTGCATTCTTTTCAATGGCTCAGACCAGCCCATGCTTTACTTATCTCTATGATGCTAAACATGTTCCTTGTTGCGCTCTGGCCTTGACAGGGTTGAAATGTTCAGAGAATTTATCAATATGGACAAAGCTTCTAGGAGAATGGCCGGCGAGGTTCTAGGTCCAGGTCCACATGCAGTTGAAGTTGTTATTCGCCGCGGTCATGTTTTTGAAGATGGATTTCAACAATTAAGCAGCATTGGGTCCAGATTAAAGTCTAGCATTCATGTTTCTTTTGTAAATGAGTCTGGTCTCCCTGAGGCTGGCTTAGACTATGGTGGGTTATCTAAGGAATTCTTGAATGAAATTGCAAATGCAGCCTTCTCTCCCGAGTGAGTTTTCCTGATGCTTGACTTTTCTTTTTCAAGTTGCAACTTCATTGTTCTTTTTTCTGACTTAATTGCTTTCTTTTTTTCCTGCTTTAATTGCTTTTTAATCTCTCTTAGAATATAAAAACCTTTTTAGGCCTACAACCATAAGCTTGAGCAGTTGAGCTTTTGATTGAACCATTGAGTTAGTTCCTTGACATGGTATCAAAGCTTTGTTGACCAAGAAGTCACGAATTCAAAACTCACTGCCGCCCAATAAAAAAAATTAAGGTTTCACGTGCAAGGCCCGGAACGCCCACGCCTACACGTGAGGGGCATGTTAGAATATAAAAACTTTTCTTAGGCCTACAACCATAAGTTTTAGCTTTGGGTTGAGTTGGTTCCTTGACTCAATAATTAAGATTTTTATAATGGGTGATGTCTTTCTAGGTGTGGTCTATTCACCCAGAGTTCAACCTCAGATCGGCTTTTGATTCCTAATTCAGCTGCAAGATTTCTAGAAAATGGAATCCAGATGATTGAATTTTTAGGAAAAATTGTTAGCAAGGCACTCTATGAAGGAATATTGTTAGATTATTCCTTTTCACATGTTTTTGTGCAGAAGTTATTGGGCCGTTACAGCTTTCTTGATGAATTGTCAACGCTTGATCCTGTGCTATATAGAAATCTTATGTATGTTAAGGTAAATCAAAATTCTACCCTACAAACGTTGGTACTGAGAGTACTCCGTGTGTTAGTGAGCAATTCATTTCTGGTTAGTGAGGATATAAGTTTTGTTTGGTATGCAATGGCAGTGCATATAGTGAACAACTCATTCGTGGTTACTAAACACACAACTTCTATTTAGTTAGCAATTTGTTTCTCATTAGCAAATATAAACCTCTGTTGAGAGATAGTTGTACGGTATTTTTGTACCTATTGTTGTACAATAGAATTACTCCAGTGATGCTTTTGAAAATGATAAAGTTCAAGAAACAACAACAACCCAGTGTAATCCCCGGGGAGTAGGGTCTGGGGAGAGTGTGTATGCTGACTTTACTCCTAGTCAAAAGTAGAGAGGTTGTTTCTAGGAGACCCCCAACTCGAGTAACACCAGTCAGCGTAGGCTAACAACAACTCGAGTAACACCAGTCAAAAGTAGAGAGGTTGTTTCTAGTTTGAATCACTTTTCAGTAATGGCCATATTTGCAAACATAGGTTACCTAGTCAGTGTAGGAGACACTTGTCATCTTTTATGTATTAAATTGTAAATAGTAAATGTACTCTTCTCATTTTCTGATTTGCTAATGCATGGTTACCTAATTACTAGAATGAAGGTCCATGAATGACTTGTTTTAATTTTAGATCTACTATGTGTAAAGCAGTTCCGTATGCAATTTCTAGTTACATTCATTGTCTCATACTCTCATTGATGCAAAATTGCAAATGACCTATGTAATGGGAAGGGGAGTGCAAATTAACTATGGACATTCCAGAAGATCCTCACGTGCCATGTTTTTGGCCATGTGCTGAGGGCATGCTTTGATAAGAAAATAGGGCTTGCCCAGCTATGAATGTCTACATACAATCAACAACATGAAACTTGGAAATTGGGATATTTCGTTAATTATCAACTGGCCGCAAAATTCAGCGTTTTAATACAGAAACAGTTTTGTATTTTGCTAATGAAATATCCAACTGTGCATGAGAAATTGACATTTATCATTGTTAACGAATGCAGCATTATGAAGGTGATGTTAGAGAGCTCTCTTTGGATTTTACAATTACAGAAGAATCACTTGGAAAGAGACATGTTATTGAGCTCAAACATGGTGGAAAAAATATCAGTGTCACAGATGAGAACAAGCTGCAATACGTTTATGCAATGGCGGACTTTAAACTTAATCGACAGGTAGGTAGCATTTCTACTGTAGATAGTTGGTGCCTATGTTTTTGTATCTCAAAATCTAATTTTATGCATTGCAGATACTTCCATTCTCAAATGCATTTTACAGAGGGTTAATTGAACTTATATCTCCTTCTTGGTTAAAGTTATTTAATGCATGTGAATTTAACCAGGTATTACTATTACCTTGTTTTACATTCTGATAAATGTTCACTTACGAGGCTCCATTTGGGATCCGTCTCTACATGTTTTTGAGTGGGTCATCAATATTATATGTAGTTATATATATAGGGGTAATCTTACACCAATTTGTTGGTGTTAGATTATTACACCTAAAAATTGATTGTTTTTACCCTCTCTAACCCTCCAGTAAACCCCCTCCTGCCCGTCCCTAATGCACCCCCACACTCTTTCCAATTACATTGAACGATGACAATACTTGCATTCGGGTAAAACAAAATTTAAAACTTTTAAACCTTTTCGTAGCTCGCATTGCATTGCTGAAGAGTCTGAAGTTTGATCTGTTGAACATAAAGCCATCATAGTTATGGAGCAAAACATTTTTATATTCCCTATGTCCCATCATTTTGACTAAGGTACATACTCCCTCCGTACCAGTCCTTTTGTCCAGTATTCCTTTTTGGGCCGTCTCAGCATATTTATCCACTATTTTTGGTAAAGTGATAAAGGTTACAATGACAGATATACCCCTGCAAGTAACGCTAGCCGAATTGAGAATTACGCGGTATCTTCTTATGTCTTCTTCAATCAATGAGCAAATATCTTCTTATAGAATTATCTTCTTCAATCGGCTACACCAAGCTTCATACTCCGGCGAGAGAGATCTGTTCTCAGGCGATGCCGATCTTCCTATTCTGGCGAGATAGATCTATTTGCTGCCGTTGCATCGCCAAACTTATTGCTCAGATCTATTCTTCGGCAACTGCAGATGCTATAGCGAGAAACCTAACCTTTTCTAGCTCTAAGATGATGTCCTTCTGTCATCTTTCAGTGGCGATGGATAAGTTTTTCCCCTTTCTTTAAGTGTTTGCACTTTGTTTTTCTTTTTTCTTTCTTTATTTTTTTCTTTTTTCATTAAGTATGAATCAGATCTACTCCGAGAGAACAAAAACCTGATTGTTTCAAAAGCTATTATTCATAAAAAAAAGATACAGATTTCCGACAGCAAACATGATTCCAAGAGAATAGTGAGGCAATTGGTGCCTCTGATTTTTGCAAGGGTAGTGACGATCTCCGGTGAAGGGAGGATAGCGGTCACGATCTCCAGTGAAGGGAGGACGACGGTGACGATCTCCAGGGAACGTAGCGGAGGAGTAGCCGACTTCAGTTCTTACTTTGGATTGTTCCAACTTAGTGTGCTCATAATTCCAATAGGGATATTTTAGACATTTCTCCCTACTTTTCTCCTTTTCTTTGTTCTTGTGCGAAAACGAAAGTGAAGGAATACACCGGGATGTAGGGAGTATTTCATAAGTCATCGTTCCTACATAAATTTCTCTGTTTATCTGTCGATCTAAGGCCCCGTTCCGTTCAACTTATTTTTTTCTTATTTTTTCTTATGTTTTCTTATTCTTATTAAAATCAGATCAGACCAGACCAGATCAGATCGAATCAGATCAGATCAGATCCAATCAGATCATATCAGAACTTATTAAAATCAGATCATATCAAGAATTATTATTATTATTATCATTATTATTATAATTATTATTAAAAATAAAAAAGAATAAACTTTGGAAACAGGTTAAATAGAAAACAGAGAAAGTAATCCTTAATTATTAGACATTGGAAAATTTAGTTTTAAAATACATTGACAATGTCAATCTAATTCTACTTTTAAAATATATTTTTATTGCTACTTGTAATTTGAGTTTCTAAAGTTTTGATATTTTATAAGGATGAGATATTTTAATAAAAATACTATCTCTTCTATGTATTAATTATCTAAATTTAATTACTTTTTAATGTATATATAAATTAAAATATTTATTCTAATGTATATATGAAGTAATATTAAAATATTAAATTAATATTCTAATTTCACAAAAAAATAATCATAAAATAAAAAATATTATTACATTGTACTGTAATATGAATGATTATTCTAATATATGAATTAACTAATTTTATTTTATTAAAAAATAATAATTAAATAAAAATATTGATTATATTATAATATGAATTATCATCACAATTTTCAAACGTTATTATAAAGTCAAATCATAATTAATCAGATCAGACCAGATCAGATCCAATCAGACCAGATCAGATCCAATCAGATCAGATCAGAACTTATTAAAATTTGATCAGATCGGAAAAAATAAGTTGAACGGAATGGAGCCGAAGTCTTAAACTATTTCATCACATTACATCTTTTAGACTTTTTGTTTGTGGATTACAATAGCATACATGAAAATTCCACATTTCCACCTCAAAGTATTGATTCAATGAAGCAAATCACTGGAACAAATCTGAGAGCTTGCCTTGTAATGTGACTCTTTTAGGGATGAAAAATGATTTTAAAACATGAATCTTTTTTGGCACAAAGTTTTTGTTTACCTATTTTTCTTTAAATTTAAGAACTAGGTTTGCTCTCTCTGGTTCAACTATGACATTGTTTCTCAGATTGCTTTCATGATTTCTTTTCTAACGAATTATGAATCTGAGTATCTGACATTGGAATCTATTTGTCTCAATATTTATAAATCTAATTTGATTTTTAATAATTGCGTATGTGATTTTTGTATATCTATAAAATTTATGATTTTTTTTGTAGTTGTGAATCTCTTCTATATACTATCACAAAATTGAGTGGCTTCTAAATTATATATAGCCGTCGCCGTTTCTCGATTGCTCTTGTAGTGGTATTGTAACTTTTTGTTGAAATATGAACCTCCAAATTCTCTAGGGATGAAAAGGGTTCCATATCACAAACTATCAGTCTAAAGAGCTCTACTCCCTCCATCCACAAATTTTCTTCTCGTTCATTACTCACAGTGTCAAAGGTTACTCACTTTGTTTGTGCATTTTCGTTGTCCATTTGAGAAAATAATATAGTCATGTCATCTCTAGTTTTGTAGATCTTTTGATATAGTGTTTAAATATATACTCCGTAATTTTTATTTTTTAATTAAACACCAAATTTCATACAAAGTGATTTAAAAACAACATTAATCAAACATCGAAATGCGCAACAGGAAGAAAATTTATGGACGAAGGGAGTATTTCAGTTTCACATGACATGTTTTGAAAGATATATCAATTTTTTGAAAATATATATGTTATTATATGTTTGCATGTCTAATATATATGATATTTGATATCCAGTTGCTCTCAGGGGGGAATCACGATATTGATGTTGACGATTTACGTAAAAATGCACGGTATAGTGGGGGCTACAGTGAAACTAGTCGTACAGTGAAACTTTTTTGGGAGGTATTTGTGGTTTATCCCTCTTTTCTTGAAAACAGCTTCACTTTTCTTGTTTTCTTCTTGTTTTATTTCCAATCATATCATAAACTAGATAGTGTTTATGTCTTCAATTATAGGCATGCGTAGACAGTCACTGTTTTTTTTTTAAATTTTATTCTAGTTCCTGAAATGATTCTGAGCATTCATTGTGCTTATGTGCTCACTTGCTCGCCAAATACAGCAGTACTTTCCCAGTGCCGCATTCCTGCACAACAATTTTGGTCTTTAGAGTGAATGCCAACAGCAGCAGTCAATGGTAGTAAACTCTAGCACGGGATTGCAGAAATTTCACCTATGCGGGGTCTGGAGGATGGAGAGTTTACTACTTTAGTCATTGTGCCAAAAAAACTCCTTGGAATTGTGTAAATGAAGAATATGTTTGTGGTTAGTGTGTAGAGGGATGAAACTTCACAAGTTTGGTCGCGCGAGGGTATTAGGTCTTGTGATCTAGTTTACTGGAAGACAATGTCGAACATGGCAGTAAATGGTGGCAGTCTTGAACATGGGTGGTTGAAGCGATGAGGAAGACACTACAATATGACAGTGTGAAGAAGAGGAAGCTGGTGGTGCGAACAAATATGAGATCAGATAACCTTGCTCAAAAAGTAGTGAATCAAGCAAAAGATTGAAGGGATGGTGGTGCCCCGAACTGCCGATGGAGGTGGGCTTCTAAGGGTGAAGTCACCACAGTGTCTAATACTGATGGTTATGTTGGATCTTGGAGAGGGCATGGTCCTCACCGGAAATGGAGCTTGTGAAAGAACAGATGCATATGATACCTTGTTGAAATATGGAAGAGAGATTAAATGAAATGTATTGCTTCCTCTGCCCCCAAAAAAGTTCATTTTCAAGTATATGAGCCTGGTTTTAAAAGTCTACATTAATTTTTTAGAAATATTCTTGGTCAACCAAGTGGAAAGATGTTTTACTCTGTAGTTATTTACTCCAAACGGTTAAGGTAATTTTACCTCCGTTCCTTGAAAGATTTTGAAAATGGTTGGGTTTAAGGAGTGTTACTTCCAATTTTGTCATGGCTTTATGTTAGGGTAGAATATGATGGTAATAGGTTGATTAATAGTGAATAGGTATAATGTGACAGGTAGGTAAATATTTATTAATTAGTAGGGGTAACTAGGAGATTTTTATTGAAAGTTGAAGTGTTTGTTGGGACATACTCCCTCCGTCCCAAATTAGTCTTTCCACTTTCCTTTTTCGAGTTGTCCTTAAATAAAATTTTCATTCTTTAAAAGAAATGGAATAAGTGGCCCATATTGAATCCCTCTCCTCACTATAATTCTCAACAAAACAATTTTCAATTTTCTTAAACTACATGGAAAAGCAAACAAGAAGATTAATTTGGGACAGACCGACAGAGAGAGTATGATAAGTGGGAAAGTTTTTAGGGACGGAGGGAGTAAATTTTTTTGTGGGGGGGGGGGGGTATTAAGTGGCCATTCTTCTACATTCTTTTACGTCTGTCCCATAAAATTATCTCCCATTTATTTTCAAGGAAAGGAATGTGGCACATAATATTTTTCTCTTCTAAGCAAATTCCACCCACACTTCACTTTTTTACATTTTTCTTAAACTGTGCTTGGTTAAACCGGGCACTTATAAGGATCAAGTATATCTTAAATGAAATTCCTTTTTTTGTGATGGAGTGAGTACATTTGCTATCGGCTAGAAACTGGTGTAGCCTCAACATATCTGACACTTGCTTTTTACAAAAATATAAATGAAACAAATTTATATGGCAAAAATTTGTAACTGTACTCCCCAATAGTAATCACTTAGTTTCACAATCAGCTTCACACTAGACATCTTTTTGGAAAGTTTAAACTTGTGAAAAGATGCTCTTACCCATAAACTACCAAATAGGACATTTTCACAATGGGGAAGTTCTGTTTACAAATGAAATCATAAATCAGGAAACTTAGAAAGTTAGTTGTGGGAGAAATTTCATTAGTTTGATATATAAAATGGATGGATGGAGTATTACTTGTGTACTTGATGTGGAGTAAATAAAAATGATAGGGGTAGGAAATGGGTTTTGTAATCAGTGTGAGTTTATCACCACGCCCTTGTAAAATTACTCTTAACTTTAGTGTGCAAGAGTGGTTGTAAGTTCATACTTATTGTGCGACCGACTCCATGCCCCTATCATTACCCTTATTTAAGGGCTTGTATGAAAATGAAGAATCAATGACATTCTCAACAAGGTAAGTGGGCTATCTTCGTGTGACGGACCAATGTAGAATAGGAAACTATCTCCACAGGGTGGATTGATTTGTTTTGCATATGATTGATTGGTTGAATACTTGAACATGATTGCCATTGTAATGCCAATATACCCTTTTGCTTTTATCATAATGCAGGTATTTGCAAAGTTTGAAGCCAGGGAACGGTGTTTGCTCCTTAAGTTTGTGACAAGTTGTTCTCGATCTCCGTTACTCGGGTTCAAATATCTCCAACCACCCTTCACAATTCATAAGGTAAGTGTCATGTCCTAATAGACTGAAACGTTTAAACCACCACTCTACAAAAAAACAGGCAAAACTATGCCTAGTTTTTTTTTGTAAAGTCAGATGTTTTCGACAAATTTCTTGGTAAGTTTTCCAATTACTTGAGGTTTTGGTTGAGCTGATTCTTTAACTTGGTATCAGAGTGTTGTTGATCTAGAGATTACGAGTTCAAATTTCATTGCCAATAATCACTCTTAAAGAAAATAAAAAATAAATAAAAGAAAATAGAAACGTCATGTTTTACACAACTTGACATGAAGTTTAACATGAGTAGGTTCCATGCGAGATGCCGCTATTAGCTGTATTTGGAGGGCAGGATGTGGATCGACTTCCATCAGCTTCTACATGTTATAATACCTTAAAGGTATTGTCGATATGGTTATTTTGGACTAGAGTTGTGCTTGGGTTACAAGATTTTGACACTAAGTTTCTCACAATGTCTTTGCACGCACAGATAGTTATATTGTCTCTGTGTGTCGAAGTTTGGTGTTTAAATGGTATCAAATTCTTGTGTACCCAGGCATTTTTGTTCTGGACTATTATGCATAATTTTGAGGTTTCTCCATCTCATGCAATTCCAATCTAGCAACAAAAATATCTGGATCCCCTCTTTCCTTATCTATGTCCAATTTTGACAGCTTCCAACGTATAGACGGTCAAGCACTTTGAGAGCAAAGCTTCTTTATGCCATCAATTCAAATGCTGGCTTTGAGCTTTCATAGTTTCGTTTTCATTTCTTGTTGCCAGCCTTTCTCTTTGCTTTCTTTCAATACATACTGCTGCAGATTATATGGTACACTCGGTTGCACCATGTTCTTGGTACATCATGGCAAACTTTTAATTAAAAAAAATTTCAAAATGAATACTACATTGTTTCATGGTGAACATGTTTCAGAATGAGCACTACGTTATTTCAGAATGAACACTACGCCGAGCAGACTTGGAATGAACACTACGGTGGAAAATGAACATTTTGTTGAATCAAAATGAACATTCACCGGGTGTACCTCTCTACATACACCGAGGTGTATGGTATACATTATCATGTATTGCATTGATGTTTATTTGGTCCCATATTAAATTTATACTCGCTTTGTCAATAAATTTAGTTTCTGCTTTGATTGAGTTTGAATATTATGAAAAGTTTAAATTTGTGTTGATTTTTTAACTTTGCTATTCATATTAATCTTAAGAGTATTTCTATAATTAATCTTTTATAATAGAGAATTTTTTTCATATTTAGTTTTCTATTACTAAAAATTACGTTCGTGGTTTTTTATGGGTACATTTCCACGGGATTCGTTTTTAATTGTATAATGTTGATGTTAAATTAAGGGCTAAAAATGTTATTTCACATCAATCTTATGTCCAATCAATAATAGTGACTAGTGACTTTGCCCTTGGATTAGAATTCTGGCCTGAGATAACATGTGTCGGCTATGGTTGTCGTAGACAAGTATAAAACAAGAACAAAATATGTTTGTGATATTTTTAGTACTCATGATAGGAGTAGAGCTGTAAATGAATGATCGAAAATTCTATATTCATCTGCATCCGTATCCGTTTACTTGAAAAATACCCGCATCCGTTAAAAATGGTTATTATTCGTATTTGATTAAAGACATCCAATTGTTAAACGTATACAGGTTTGATAATCATACATCTTATTAACATAAAATATTAATTAGATAAACAAATATTTTGAAAATATTTTACAAGATAAATCTAATTTGTGTATCAATATTTAATACAAAGTATAAATTTTTAGAGTATTTAATTAATGGTTAAAGCTTATCAACTTTAAATGCAAAAAGTAAAAAATTGAAAAATATTCTAGAACGGATGTAGTTTTTAGATCAAGTCCCAATCAAAGTGTAAATTATTTCAACCATGATAAATTAATGTAGCAAAATATACCAAAATACAAACAAATAGAATTTTGCGTGGAAACCCAATCGAGAAAAAACACGAATCTTTTTTGGTGGTACATTGTCAACAAAGAGATTTTATTATATATCGTGGGTTGTACACTTACACGTTATGTAATAGTGGCTCAGAATCCACTAATGGAGGAGCATGTAAGCTCATGAAGAAAAATTCTAAAGAGAGAGAGTATCACATTTTAATAAACCGAAAAATTATGCATTTGAGATTTAATAATATCAACCACAATATTTTGTTTAAGAGGAATGCAACGTTAATTTTGAGGCAAATGAAAAAAAATGAATGAAAAAGCAACATAGCTAAACATCATTAAATTCAAAAACATAATGCAACTTCGTACTCCGTAGTATTTTTTATATTATCATTATTACCGAGTATTATTTTTTTAATGGGACCAAAAGGTCCCCCCTTGAATATTGATACACAAGGGACCAAAAGTTACAAACACCATTAACCCATGGGCATATATATGTTCACCTATATACTGGGTAGTAACAGGTTCCAAAACACTAGTATAAGTGTGTATACAAACCAGTTGAATTTCAGCATCAAAGCAGGGGGGAGTGGCAGTTTAATACACACCTTAAAGAGGCATTTAGCCTGTTAGTGATGTCTTGGCTGCGAGGTGAATTAGTGCACGTTTGTGGTAAGTGTGGCGCAATTTCTTGTACTTTTGCACATATGCGAGGAGATCAATTTCTCGATTAAGAAGCTCCTTCTGCAGGGCTTCGGATTCTTCCTCCGTTTTATTGGCTGCCTCTGGCATGAATGGCAAAAATCAATCAGGTTACCCAAGCTTCTAAATTCTACTACTGGCAAGAGAATATTTGCAAGGACTATTTATAGCCTCAAACAATTATCCCTAAGTACGTGTTCTATTCAACTTATTCTTATTGGAGTCAGATGAGATGAGACCATATCACAAACATCTTTAAACAGAACCAGATCTAATTAATTCAGATCAGGCCAGACCTTATTGAACAAAATTCAGATCAGAACAAATCGGATTAGACGAAGAGAACATGCCCATAGTCTTATTTGGTCACTTACCTACCATTCGATCTCTTGGTCTTTTTTTCACTTAAAAAAAGAGTCTGAAATACATATGTTTTGTCAGTAGATTCCGAAGGAGCTACGATAGGCCACTATAGTAAAACATAATGGGGCCTGCATCTGCAATTTCATTGGTTGATTCATCGATAGCACATTGTGTATTTGTGGGCAATGAAACATGATCTATTCCTAGTAGTCGTAGTGTGGGAGTAAACACACTTGCACTCAATTTAGTGGACTCCTAGTGGGCACCAAGGACTGGTCCTTTCACAGTTTCACTAAATGAGAAACTCAGTCACTCACCATGAATAACCCCTCCACTATCTTGTATGGCCGGGGTGGGGGGGTCTTATCCTTTGGTGACTAAGTAATACATGGTGAGGGGAGGCCACTATCTTTTCTTTAGCCACAATAGGCACATACAAAAACAATTGCTTTTTTTCACTTCAGCGAAGAGGGAAAAAAGAGTAAGGGGCTGTTTGGCAACTTCTGAATAGGTAAGTGCTGAACCAGTAAGAGGTCTGAACCATTAAGTGCTGAACTAATAAGAGGTCTAAACCATTAAGAGCTAGTATATTGCTTAACTATTCAGAGGCAAATGTCTGATCAATTCAGATAAGAGGTCTTAACCATTCAGAGGCAAATCTCTTAACCATTCAGACATCTGAACCATTAAGAGGTTGAAACAAACAGTCTGAACCATTAAGTGCTGATCCATTCAGATATCTGAACCATTAAGAGGCTGAAACAAACAGCCCCTAAAACACAATTGCACCACCTTTAACTACAGTATTTTATCAGCAGTCTATTTACCTTGAAGCCGACGGAGAAGGGATAGAGGAGAGTAGTACTTCAGGAGCTCCTCTTTCCTCCTTTCCAATTCATGCAGCTTTTCTTGAGCAGCCGCTAATTCAGTAGTTCGAATTATCCTACACTGTAAGCCATAAACACGATGATTAACAATAATTACTTACACTCAGCATCTACATGTTACATTTGTATGCAATGCTTTTACTTCAACATTTGTAAAATTAGACCTGATTTCTAAGCTCCATGATCCTTGATTCTTTTTCCAAATTTTCCCCTGTACTTTAATAGAGTTAAAATGTGATCTGTATAGAGTGATTTACCTAGAATTAAAAAAATAAAACAATTATAGGCAACTTACTTGCAAGCTGCAGAGTCTCATTACGAAGCTCGTCCCTTACCTATTGTGCAATCGAAGACATGGAGTAAGTCATAGATAAGAAATAATTTCAGTACAAGTGATTCCAACAAAGATGTTAAGGATAAATGAAGTGGAGTTCCTTTTCTACTTTTTTTTTTAAATTGGCAAAGTATATGCTTCTTTGGTCTAAGAAAGTCTTATATTTAATGCTAAAAATGTATTGCGAAATAGAAATGAGACTCTTTTTTAGGACAAGGGGAGAATTATTAAACAAAAATATTGGACAACAATGGAGATCTAAGAGCAGGATTGAAAGCAGAGAAGGCCTAGAAATAGGAAACCGAACAAAGCCCTTGATTCCTTAGTTTGGCATTCAATGAAAGATGAAGTGGAAAGAGAAAATGTTGATTCTTTTCCACATTTAGAAGCATTCATTGTACGCATAAAGCAACTACAAGATCACAGTTTCAATAACTAAATAAGTCCAAACAGCCCATATTTCCTAAACACTACAAATCAAACTTTACAGACTACTTTAGATGCTAAAGACCCATAGGGACAATAGCCCCATAGGCCACATCATCTCCATACCATAGTAATAATTGATTCTTTAAACCCATGATCTGCAACTCACATTGTTTTGTGTTTTGACAGGCTCAAGTGAGAGTAGAAAGTTTTGGTAAGCGGCCTTATCAGAGAGAAGCTTCCGAAGCTCATCAACACTATAAAAATATAAAAAAATATGAAGATCAATTACTCCGGATACTAAATGGGATGCATACATCCACCCATACCTTTTATCTTTAAGAACAGTTATTATGCCTGCGGCCTCTGCTGGAGATACATGTGATGCAGAACTGTGTGGTGGCCTTGATACAGTGAAGCTACCAGAGGAGCTTGGACTAGGCAATGTGGGGCGGGAAGAACTGGGAGAGTTGATCATAGACGGTGGATACCATGAATCCATAGGAGTTTCCTGTTGTCCCTTGTTGCTCCTGAGACCCCCTTTAGATATAAACATTTTTCAATACACTCTCCAAAATATTCACATTTTGAAATAAATAAATAAATAAATGAAGCCCAATTTCTTTCATATCAATCAGTTGAAAAACAGGCAACGGAAAAGAACCCTAATATCTAGTTTTTTTTTCTAAATACTCGTAAATGAAAAAGACATTCGGATGCAAAACTGTAGGTGCATGATTAACATTTCCAGTAATACATACATTTACAGATTCAGAACAGAAGAAATCTAAAAAAATCCTAACATCGCACTTGGAAGGAATATAATCAATTTTAGCTTCGATTCATGAACCAATCACCAGAGCGAAATGGAATAGTGAACCAGACCTAAAGTTTAATCGGCAAAATTACCTGAATTAGAGCCTTTCCGACGAGAAACTTGCGTGAATCAACTCGTGATCTGTAGAGGGATCGATAGAAACGAACCAGAGGAAAGTTCGAGCATTAACGATGGACTCTGTCTCCCTCAAGTCTTCAACAGTTTTCCCACCAGTCCTTTCTCAGCTTCTTCCTGAGGGAAAGATTTGTACCATACTACTACTACCATCTTTAATAAGGGGTTTTTCTTCTTCCCTTTTCCTTTCCATTTTCTAATAGGGAGTATTATTTTTACTACTTAATTTAATTAAATAATTAAATTAAAAATGTAAAATATACGGAGTAATTAAATTAGAAATCATCCTAAATATGATTAAAACATAGAGAAAAGTACCAAAACAGGACTTTCATGTTTTTTTTCCCGGAATAGAACTTTGCACTGTGGTAATGTGACTTTGCATTGTGATAATGTGGCAGTGTACATGTGCAGATTACTATACTTTTTTGGTAATGTATATGACCATGTTTGGTAATGTAAGTCCTATTTCGGGAATAAAAAACATGGAAGTCCTATTTTGGTATGTTTTCAATCTTTTAATCCTACTTTGGTCTTTCTCCCTAATTAAATATGGAGCAGTACAAACTTTAAAAAAATTATACAAAAATTTAAAATTGTAACTAAAAGCTTAAAAATAGGGGAAAAAAGTAAATTTTATAATTAGTTCTTTATAACATGAAAGTTTCCATATTTAGTTACTCCGTATTTATTTTCATATATTACTTCCATTCTTTTATGAGTGTCTTTTCACAGATGATCCTTTATTTTATCTTCTGCCATGTTTGTTTTTGTTTAAAGGTTAAAAGTATAATTTAACATCAACTTTATGTCCAGTAACATATTCTGATATTGGTTATATGGATAACAAAAAAATAATGATTATGATTGTAGGTTGAAATTCTGACGAAAGATCACATTTGTACACTATGGTTGTATTAAAAAGCGATTGTTTCACAAATGATGCATCAAGAGTGACCCTTGAAATTGTGTATGACAAGAAAGATATATAATCATTGTGAAATTATACTTTTAGCATTCAAATTAACACCAACATGATAGAAAATAAAAAGAACTATTTATGGAAAAATACTCATAAAAAGGATCACCGGGGTAATATTTGATAATAGAAGACTAAATAGTAAAAGTTCATGTTATAAAGAACTAATTATGGAATTTACTAAAAAAATAACCTAGTGTCCTAGTCCCACAAAGATCTTAGGCAAGTGTGTGTAGACAGACCTTATTTTATTTGAAATTAAAGATATTCAAAAAAATAAAAAATAAAAACCGTAAAAACTTAGAATTGAAGAATAAAAAAAGGAAATACACAAGAGAAAAAAAAAGAAGAGGAAAGGCTGATAACCAAAAACTGAAGAAAGAAGAGAAGAGGAGAGAGAGAGAGAACACCAAAGCCAAGAAAGAGAGGAAAAAGAAGAAACGAGAAGGGGAATCCGCTCTTTCTGTTTCTAGCAAAAAGATGGCGGTGTTCCCCTTCGTCCCGCTGTCTTTCTTCTTCCCTTTCCATATCGCACCATCTAAAGAAATTAGATTATTCGTACTTATTTTGAAACAAGTCACCTAGAAAATGTTGTTGTTCATATCACGGATTACGAATTTGCACACACAAACAATAATCATCTCTTAACACACAGAGTCTAAAGATAGCTATCGCTTGCGTGTATACAAGTTCACAAACAGTTGTCCATATGGTTACGATTATTATTATTACTACTACTACTAAAATAATAATAGTAGTAGTAGTAATAATAATAGCAAGTATTCTCTCCGTTTCGTTTTATTTTTTTTGTATATCTCATCATTTTTGTTTCATTTCATGTTTTGTCATATTTTTGTTGTTCATAACTATTCTTATTTTTTAACGTAAATATCAATTACACAAACTTATTCGTGTAATTCCCTCATATCCCAAAAATTATGGGAAGGAGTTATTTAACCATATGTAACATTATTATTATTATTATTATTATTATTATTATTATTATTATTATTATTATTATTATTATTATTATTATTATTATTATCTACCTGTATATAATATTATAATGCTCAATATTATTATATGCAAGTGTGCAACATAAAAAAATATAACATGATTTAATTGTATAATACGGAGTAATAGTTATTTTATTATAGACAAAATATTAACATTACTTTTTTAATTTTCAGCTTACCCCTATATGAGAAAAATAATAAATAGAAAAAAATAAATTGTACCAAACACAGCTTAAAACCATATGAGAGGGAACTTGAAAGCTCCGAAGTGGTCTTCAAGATCCCCAAGAATAAGTCGATGGATCTATTCTCGGGACTACATTACTTTTCATTTTATTTTTCCTTTTCTTAGAGTACATAAAACGTTTACAAGTCATTTTGAATGTTCTAGTGACTTTGGCCTCAGTTGACAATGCGATGCCACTATCTTTTTGAGACACCTACGGTGCCCCCGTGCAAAATTGATAGGTTCCTACCCTCAGCTGCTCTGCTCTCCATTCCTTCTTTGCCGATTGGCTACATGATTTCTTATAGTCAATCCGCAAAGAAGATAGTGGGGTTGGGCGGCTGGGGGTTTCGAGAGTAAGAACCGTCAATTTTAAAAAATAACTGATAGTTCAGTGGTTCATCTTCCTTGTACCATGTCTCTTGAATGTCATGTCCAATTTTAATCCCTTCACACAACCATCAAATTGCAATACCCCATGGATTGGCACACAAAGGCCATGAGGACTCCATAGAGCTTGGAGTAGTAGAAAGATGCTCGGGGGAAATAATGCGGTCTCTACTCTGTTTTTAAACATTCTAGCAGTAGATACAATTTTTACAAAGTAAAATACATAATAACCTTCTTATCCCACTAAGATAATCAAATCACGCGAACTAGTACCCGGAAAGCTTCAACCCCGGCAGCACATTGTGAAGTGCTGAAAAACCGTTCCCTTAGGAGCTATTATGAACCCCTAATGAGGCACTACGGCAACGTTTTTTCTTCGGCTTTACCTGAAATGTTTTGAACCAAATCATGTGTTAGGAACACATTGAGCAAGAATGATGTGTTTATGGTTGGAATGTTTAAAAAAGCAACAGAAAACACAATCTAGTCCCAACTTCATTGGACATAGGCATCAAAATGTACGCAATCTTACCCCTGTAAAAATTATACAATCAAAACTTCATAGAAAGAAACTCTAATATGCCATTTTGATTTAATTCATTATTTACCCAAAAGCTAAACAAACATTGCCAATAATGACTCTTTAGTCTCTTTTAGCTGACAATTGGAAAATTTTAAAGTTTGCATGGCTTTTAAGGACAATGAAAATTTATAGGATTGGACTGTTAATTTAAAAACAGACTTGCAGCATTTTGACAATAAACTCATGGAATTGAGTTTGCTAAGGGTCCATTTGGTACACGGAATTGACGGAATTGGAATTTAAATTCTATGGAATTGAATTCAATGGAATTGAGTTCTCCAATTCCAATTCATTTTTTGCACTACCAATTCCAAATTCAAATATTTTTGTGCTACCAAACACCAGAATTGGAATTGAAGTCCCCAATTCCAATTCCACGGCTTGAATTCCGTGTACCAAACGGAGCCTAAGGGTATTCATGAACAAAGGCCAAAACTATTAAGTGTGCCGTGGAGCGGTGGAGGACCATAGTAAAAGACTTCAAATTTATGAAGAAAGAAATGATGACCACTTCAAGAGGATATCCACAGGTATCCGCTTACTGTTGGGTCCTATGAAACACAGGTCCAGGTGCAGGACTGGTGTGTGGGTGCGGAGATTTTCAAAAAAAAAAAAGGTTGCAGGTGAGGCAAATTTATTTATACAATTTTTATTTGTATCATTCATTTCTTTGTAAGATACATGTATTTATGTTCAAAATATTCACGGAATTTAACTGTCTGAATTTAAAATAAATCGAACACATAACAACCCAGAAAATAGATATGAAACATAATACAAGTCTCAAATTACCATTAAAGTTAACATTGAACCACATAAAATGTCTCAAAACTACCCACCTGCACCCAAATTTAAAAAAAAACAATATAAAACTACCTAGTTGTTCATTTTCAAAAATAAAAAAAAAATAAAAATATACCCAGCCACACCGCCGCACCCGGGCTCGCGGGGCTAATTTTTGAAGCACCCGTGCTTCATAGGTTGGATCCAACTGTCCAAGGACCGCATTATTATACAAACAAGTGGAACTGCATGCACTTCTCAGAAAACATAGTACCTCCATGACTCCATCTCATAAAATTCTTCCTAGTTTGACTTTCACAAACTTTAAGAAAAGTGTTCTTCAAAAGTGAAAAATATGTGGCTGGAATTTGTTTAGATGAGTGAAAAACCATCTATCACATGTTTACTTCTTTGAAAGGTAATAGAGTAAAAAGTTTTTTGGTACATTCAAAAAGAGAGAAAGAAATTTTACTAACGAACAAGGGAATGATATTACAAAGGTTATAGACGTGAAAAGTTTCTAAGAGGAAAGGTTCCCTTATATAGCAAGTAATGTCCCCAGAAAACCGTATGAATCCCCCCCCCCCCCCCCCC